TCCTGCTGCACCCCCAGCTCACTCTTGGACATCTCAGCTCCACTTCTCTCGAAGACCTGGCATCAGTCTGCTGGGCACTATTTCTGGGGGAAAAAATCCTGCTCTGCTAACCGGCAGAGAGGGGTGGAGCAGCTCTTTCCAAGAAAGCAGCAATCTTTAGCAGTGAGACACTGCCTCAAAAAAAAAAATCAAGTCCCACACATGCTCTTGTTTAGCAAAAAGAAATTGGATGGGAAGCCTGGAAAACCAGAGACGTCTCCTCCCAAGTAAAGCAGCTCACGGGCGACTCTGAGCCCCAGCAAAGTGGGACACGGTCACAGCCCCACCGCCCAAACCCACCCCACGAGGGCTCAAATGCAGTCCCTGCCACTTATCCTGTATTTTACAGCGTGCGTGGCTGGTTGTGTCAGCTGAGCCGGGCTTAAGCTCCCGCACCGCGCCAGTCAATCAATACCATATTTCAAAACCCAGGCGGAGAAGCCGGGGAAGAGGCTGTGCAATTGCCTGGAAAACACATTGCCGAAGCAAGCTCAATCCAGTGGGCTGTCTCTTGGATTTAATAGTTATTATTAATATACGGAGGTAAATACGGCTTTATTAGCTCCTGCCATACTCCGAGTACAATCCCATATTATAAATAAATAGTGAAGCAGTGAGCTAACGAAAACACCAATAAATAGCAACACACCGCATAAGTATTTAAAAGCCCCTAGCGGGAGGCTCTGCAAGTTGCTGTTTGAAGCCGGTGCAATTAAATATAATATAATATTGCAATAACAAATAGCAAGAGGTTGGGTGGGCTGCTCCCAGCCAGTCTGTGGTGCTGGTGCTTCTCTGACAGCCATTTCTGCAGAGTTTCAGCTTTTGTTGAAGGGACAAAGAAGTTTTTATTTGTTCTCTTTGGAAATTCAAGTTTCTGTTCAGGCACTGACGTGGGTGTCTGGCTTTTTATCTGGGGACAGATTGCCCATATGATGCTCCAGAAAACCGCAGCAGCCCTTGACCTGACACACACTGGGAAATCCTACCTCTTTGGGGGGATGGAGAGGTAGGGGCAGGGCTCGGGGGTCCCTGTAAGCACTGCTGCGCATGGAGGGGTCTCTAGAGACGGACAGTGGCATCGAGATGGGAGAGTTAACCCGGTGGCCAAGGGATAACCAGGGGTTAAAGGCTTTGCCCAGCTCGTTCTCCAGTGGGAGAGAGGACCGTGGCGGCTGGTGTGGCTAGAGCTGGTCCTGCACCACAGCTCAGCGGATGGGTGACCACCTTCCCACCAGTGTTGCTGGGATGGTGCCCTCCATCCCCTGGAGCTCAGGTGCTTCCGAGCACCCTGGAGCTGGGCAGGGCTTGTACCAGTGCTGCAGGGTATATCCATCCTAGCTGCCTGAGCGCCGGAGACGGATTAGGACCCACTCTGCAAAATACAGTCCCAAATAAAACCTGCATCTGGTGCAGAAGTGTTTGAGACACCATTCAGATGCGGTGAAGCCAGCAACAGATTTCTCTGCAAAAGATCCCAACAACATGCGTAACCAAAGAGTTTTTCACCCCAGAATTAATTCCTGGCTTCTTGAAAAAGACAAAATACAAAAGTGGTTACGGTTACTTACCCTTTCTAAAGATTTGAGCAGGTTTTGTCTTTCTTTTAGCTTTTGGATACTGATGACTATTTTGTGTCTTGCGCCTTTGGTAACATTCTGCAAAAACCAGCACAAAACCTGGCGTTAACATTTCCACAGGACAGCCTGGTCAGCCCAAATCTTTCCTCCCCTAAATGAAAAGGGCTGCTATAAATTAATCAAATTTCTGAGTGCAGGGATTAGTGGGGGACATCATAGAAGATCGCTTAGAGACTTGCTGAAGAGAAGAGGTTTCCAGCTAGTCTGTCCCTCCCTGGTATATCTCAAACAGTGAAAGCAAAGGTGCTGCCCGGCCCTCTTTGCCCCGAGGATAATGCAGAGGTCAATCTGAAAGCGGGGACATTTTCAAAGGTTAACAAGGCAATTGGCCACCAAAGCCTCACTGACTTTAAAGGAGTTGGGTACTGCAGACTGTGCCCCTGAAACTCCTAAACTTAATCCCAACGGGACAAAAACCCAAGTGCAGCTCCCAGTGATGGGACTCTCATGCTGGGACTCCAGTAAGAAATCTGGGACAAAGCCATTTTCAGGTACAACGTGGGTTTTTTCACCCCCCAAGACCCAATTTTCCTTTCTCTGCTTGCTCTCCAACCACCTGTGGGCAAAACGTCTTCCACGTGAAGACGTAAAAAGAGGCGTTGGAGGTGTCTCATCTACCGACTGCACGAGTCCGGACCGTGGCTGCTCCCTTTACAACTGACGTAGGACGTACTTGTGCCTCGAGCTGGCATTCGGTGAGGGCCATCATCTCCTCGTACGTCATCTGCGAGAAGAGGGCGGCATACTTGTGCAGCCGGAGGCTCTTCAGCCAGGCTGGGACATCTGCAGCACAAAGGTAAGGAGATGAAAGCTCCCATTGAGCTCCTGACACCGCTTAACCACGCGCGATATAGCATCAACAGCAACACAAGGAGCTGATCAGGTGCCATCCACCACCCCACCGGTGCTTCGGACACCTTACTGAACTTCACGGACCTTTTGGAGGACGTAGTGCTATGGGTATGGATGGGAGGAGGAACCAGCCCCTGGATGAGGACACAGTGCTGTGGATATCAATGGTAGGAGGAACCAGCCCGCAGATGAGGGCACGTCCTCAGAGGCTGGGTTTCTGCGGCTGAGCTGCCGCGAGTTAGCCACAGGGAGCCGGCGTCGTGCCACTGCATGGGCAAGCTCCTCGCTGCCCTTTTCCAGAGAATGCGGGAACCACTGAAGCTTACAGTGTGCTCGAGATTAGGACGAGCAAATGGCTGTTTTGCAGATGGCAGACACTGATTTATGGTGTGAAGGAAGATGGTATGTGCTGAAAATTTAAACGGCCACTTAAAAGAGAAATAAAGAGATTTTTTTTTTGAGCACGGAAAAATTATGTGCCATCAAAGGTGGTCTCACAACCTGCTTCAGAAGGGTGACCTGGGACCTCAAAACGCACCGACTGAAATGACTTCTTCCTTCCCACTCATTATCTGCAGTGTAGCACCTCTGTGCCTGGCTGGATGGGTACCCAAAAATACTTTTCTCCTCCTGACATCAATGTGGTTTCACAGGGAGGGGGATCCTTCCTCTGCAACATGCAAAACCTCACCAGATCCCATGACAGGGTGTCCTCCACGAAGAAGCCTCCCCCACTCCAGCCTGCTCAGTAGCTACTCGGTGTTTTGCAGGTTTGGGGGGCCCACGGTGACACCCCACAAGGCCGGGGGTGGCCCTGCAGATATCTGTGCTGCAGCACACCACCGTGCCCGCGATGATGCTTTTGCTTTGCATCCTAAAGGCTTCATATGCTGTGCCAAATCGGGACCTGCTTTATTTAGCACCTACAACCCGACAATAGCTCTGCCTTAGCCTACTGAGCTCACGCGCTCTGCTCCCAGCAATACCCTTGTCTGTTAGTCCTTGTCCCCTTCCCCACCAGCGAGGCACCCGGGAGCCCCGTCTCAACCTGCGCCGGGTGCAGTAACAGTGAAAACCCAATGTTTCAGCCCCAAATAGCAGAACCCCCCCCCCCACCTTGAATGGAGAGAGCAGGTGGAGGCTCGGGAAATGTCTCTTTGGGGGCTAAATACAAATTAACAGCAACATCTCCCCTGTCTTTGATCATTCCCGAGTTGATGTGAGGGGTATGTGTCAAGCAGGTGATGGACCTCACGTCCCACGCAGGTAGGGGCTGACGGCGCAGGAGAGCCCGAGGGGAAGGAGCGATGGCTGGCAGCGAGGCTGCGCCGATGGGGTTCCTCTGCCCAACGTGCCCACCCAGAGGGGAGGAGGAATGGGGGCTTGCAACGTTTTTGGGAGGGATTTCTATCCACTATATGCTTCTGCTGCCAGGCTGGGGCTGCGGTGGGGGGCTGGTGCTCTGCTCACCATCCCTGAGGCCAGCATGAGGACAACTTTCATGGCCAAGTCCAATAACCTTCATTAACATAGCCAACCTCAAAGGTTTTCTAGGTTGATCCGACTGCGAAGTGTGAGGCCAGATTTGCTTCGGAAAGGGATGAGATGACACGAGGAGGACAGTCCCACTGCTGGGACATCCCATGGTAGGGATGGTCTCTGTCCAGAAAGCCCCACACTGCTGACTGCCAGATGCAAGTTAAGGATCGTCACAGACCTCTTCCCGAACCAACGCCTCATCGCTGGAGGGGACAGGGCAGGAAGGACTCTTGGTTTGGTCCCCTAAGGCAATTCCTACATCTGCCAGCAGTCTCCTGCTGCCCGCTGCCATGGCTGACCCCAAACCCCACTCACATCCAAGCAGAGGATGCAAACAGCCCCAAAATGCTGCGTTTTGCTCACGTTCTCCGTCCTCTGACATACATCAGGATTTGCGTTTCAATGAAATTCCTCAAATGCTGCACAGAAGGAGATCAACCCCACACCAAACGTGGGGGCAAAGCAGTTACCGAGTACAGATGGGCTGAACTTCACCATTTTCCAAAAGTACCAACATGTAAAAGTCCTAAAACCTGCTGCCGGAGGCCTCTTAAACCTATCTTCTGTTTAAAAAAATTAAAAGCTATTAGCAGAAAGCCCTCTGTTTCCAGCATGGGACTGGCAGGCTTGAATCTCAACGTCATTTTAACACCAAACCACGCCATTTTAGTGATGACACATTAGAAGTCTACCTGATCCCGTGTCCCCTGGGGACATCTGTCTTTGGCGCACGTCTGTGCCGATGGTAAAGCCAACGGGGATACTTTCAGAAGAGAGACGTAACTTCATATAGACATTAAACCCTGCAGAAAACCTATCTTTAACCTTTGCAGAGGGTCAGAACGCAGAAGCAGCTCTTCTTGCCCTTTGCATCAACCTCCCTGGACCACCTCCTAATTTTGGGGAGCTGAGATGGTTCCAGAGCCCCCTTGCCAGCAGGGACGGCAATCCCGGGAGCGGGGTGGGGAGAAGAAGCCAGCCCAGCACATGGAGGGATGGTGGTGGGGCTTTCCCCCTTCCCACTGGGAAGAGACAACCAGGAGATGCAAGGTCATCTAAGGCAATTTCATGGTCCTTGGAAAGGCAAACTCCCTAACGCTCCCCACGGAGCAGTGAACCGCCCGCCCACAGAGCTATTCGTTAATCACCGATTACCAGCAGCTAATGGCAAAGTCATGGCACGGCTGTCAAAAATGCTGCGTCTGATGTGAGCAGCAAAATGAGGACTTCCATGCTGCTCACATACATTGTCCCCTATGTGTATTAAACGCCACATGGAAATTTAGAAGGAAAACAATTTCCCTGCCATATATATATATACACAGGCCAATATATACATAGGATGTCTTCAGAAGTGCCCTTATGGCACACCATGCTAAGCCATGGACGTACTCACAGCAGAAACCCCCAGCTCTACCCGAACCCCCCTCCCGGTGCACCCCGAGCTGTGCCCTGGGAAGGGAAGGACAGACAGATGGACAGGCTCCACAGGGAATGAAGCATCCGTGTCTTCCCCTGGAGAAACCAGGGGCTGGGGAAAGAGCCAAAGGGCACTTTTCCTTCAGCACGAAGATGGATGGAGAGAAACAGGTGACATTACGGGAGATGAACTGCTAAGCCTCATCGGATGGGGGTCTGTCGTGGGTCTGGTTTCCCCACAACCCTCCTGGATGCTGTGGAGGGTGTCAAAGAAGGAGCAAGCTGAGCGGAGATGCGGGTGACACCAAGCCACAAGAGCCTGCAGGCGCTCGGGGAGATGTGGCTGCAATTCAGAGAAGGGACTTGGGAAACCGAGCAACCGGTCTGGATGAAATAAGATGCAACCCAATAAAAATGCACAAAAAGTTGTGCGCTTCTGTAGGAACAAGAAACGGCACGAAGCGAGGGCAGGGAATGGGCAGTACTTTTTTTTGCAGGAAAGCTGTGGGGATACAACGGGTTGTACGCAGTCTGCGGGGGTGTGTGATTTGAGGACGATGAGCTACACAGCCACAAGAACGCTGTCTGTACGGCGAGCAAGTCTCTGCTCGGCTCCCGAGTCCAGTTTTGGGCAACACACCTTCAATAAAATACGGACTTTCTGGAAGAAACCCAGCGGAGAGAAGCAAGAACAACCCCAAGTTTAGAAAACATCATCTGGGAAAAAACTGGATTGGTTCAGTCTGAAGAAAATACAGTGGAGGGGGGAGGACACGACAGTCGTCGACACCAGAGGCTGTAGACATCTGTTTCGCACGTCCCCGGACAGCGGGACAAAAGCAAACCGTCTGACTCAGCAATGGGGGGAATCAGGTTTGGGTGTTTGCAAACCTTCCTCCAAAGAAGAAGGATGCTCGGGAAGGGATGGCCCGAGGAAGGGCAGCCGTCTCCCCTGGCAGGGCTGCGTGCAGCAGCAATGGGCTGTCTTAATATGTGGAGTTTATTTAATTGATTATTGCTCGTGGACAGCCTGGGCAATAGCACCTTTGGGTTTTGCAGATTTGGTCATACGGATCGATTGCATTGCACTGGAGAGTTTCTACCCACGCAGGTCCCAGAGCTGCAGCTGTGGATCACAGGGAGCCAAGCTCCCCGCGGTCTCCTCCCCAGTCGCATCAGCAGCAACCTGGATAAATGTAATATTAAATAGACCCCTCTGCACCACCAGCTCCCGAAAAGGGTCTCCTTGATCTGACAGACTGCAGGATCTGTCAGAAGGCATGGAAAGCCTTGGGGACCCTTCACGTTGATGGCAGCTTAGTCTTCAACATGCTCATGGCGATCCCTCTGAGCCTGCCTGCCTCCCTGGCTGCGCTACCTGATTAGGTGTTCGTTAGCAAGTGGAGCCACTTCAGAAGCAAAGCCCGGCTCTGCGAGGCCATCACGCTCAGAAAACTCTCCTGTCACATCTACAGCCCACCGCCCTCGCCCCAGAGCAACGCGACGGTGCAAAGTGCAGCCAGGGAGCGGGCTGAGCCCCCGGCATCCATCCCACGGGAGAACCGTCAGGGGGTTTTTCATGCACTTATTTCATGCACATCGAAGTCACACAGTGCCAAGTCAAACACAATTCCACATTACAGAGATTTATACGTATCTAGATTTGTCTGTAATTAGAATAAAATCAGACCTTGTGAGTACTTAAAAAATATGATTGTTTCCTTATTCTGTTACATCGTCAGTCTTTACACAACAGAGATGCTTTGCATTAATGAAAATTGCAATTGTTTAAATCAGTCTCTGATAGCTGCAGGTTCATTTTCAGTCATTTTGTCTGTTCACTGGAATATACAGCCTATGTGTTTGCCCAGTTTTTATCTATTTATTCCTCTACAGCCTGAAGTTTACTCTCCATCTTTGACTGCAGCAACAGGCTTTCGTTTCTGCCTTGTTTACCAACAGGATCACATGTATTTATCACTAAGAGTCTGTGTGGAATGCAGGTGTAATGGGAAAAACAACTAAAATACACAGGATAAATTCACTGCAAACAAGTATGCTAAACCAAAACCTCCCCAAATACTTGGTGGGTACCAAACACCGCAATGGTAAATCACAGGTGGCTTCCTAAACCTATGCTAAGCTATATTTCACCATAACAAAAAAAAATAAAGGAAAGATAAAAGAGCACCACTCGCAGCCAAAATCCACAGGCTATGGAAAAAATCCAGCTTTTTGGAAAGCTGGCATCTTTCACGATTTTGGGGCATAACCAGCCCATGGGCACCCAACTGTAAGACATGAGATCAGGACCAGCCACTGCTTAAAAGAAAACCTAACGTATTGCCCTAAACCTAAATTCCTAAGCCGGGAAGAAACGCTGAAAGGCCCCATTTGGTTACAAGAACTCTTGCCCAAAACCGCCAACCGAGCCCCGCGCTGCCGGGAAAACGGCTTTTCCCCTCCTGCCTCTGGGTGCTGGAGGGGGGGGAAGGCGTCTGGTTTTTCACTCACCTTTCATCCCACTCCCTTCCTCCTGGAATGTGTTACGAGCGGAAGGCTGATCTTCTAAATGTTCACTCCCACCACTTCCCGAAGAGGCTACACTGCTTTGTGGAGACAGGGGGGCATGATCGGAAGGGATGCACTGGGGTCCTCTAGCTCGTAAGTCCTCATGAGACATCCATCCATGTCCTAGAGGTTGGTTTGGCACATTCATGGGTGGGGTAAGGGACACAGAGCGTTTCAAAGGGCTGTGGTGTGTCTGGCCTGAGAGAACTGAAAAAAAAATAAAATCAAAGAGGTTATTCCCCCCTCGCGGCCCAGGATGCAGCAGAGTCCCCCGAAAAAAAAATTCAATGAAATCATAAAATGGGTGGTGGTTGGCCACGGTGCCTCGCTGATGGCTTCGTGGTGCCCGCAGCTACCTGAACCCTACCCTGGGTTCTCAGCTTTGCCTCCCAGGAAGCAAAGGGGACGGGAGTACCTGCAAGGAGATGGGGTTACATGAGCTATGTTGAGTTGCTTAAGGAAAGGTGTTGCGTGGATTGCATCTCTAGGGGGGAAAAAAAAAAAATGAAGTAGCTCTGGAGGTTTTCCCCGTGCGGAGTCACGTACTGACAGCAAACCTGAGCACGGGACCGTGCTGGGTGCTTGGCTGCTGCCTCTCATCAACCCCGGAGCCCGGGCGGTCGTCTCCCTTGCAGGGAAGGCACCGCTGCTATTGCAGGGGTAACGGGAATTTTTAAGCGACTACACTGAGGCCACGAAACTCGCCCCGCTAAAATCATCCGGACCTGTATCTTTCTGGGAAAGGCATAAAAATCCCCAGGATGGGAATGTCCTCATGCAGACCCAGGGGAAGCTTCTCTGTCTCTCCCTTTGGGTCAGGACTTGGCTACACCCCAAAGCACGAGCATTTACACATCTGCCTGACGTCATCGTAGAGGTACTTATCATCCATAGAAATGGCTAAGCCTTGTGGAGTCCTCCCAGGATCTTGGGCTCAGCCGAGCATCCCGGCTCAGCCACCCATCAGGTGCGCTTCCAAGCGCACGCCTCTTAACCCTCCACAAAACAAACACCCAAAGCACTGGCGAAAATACACTCACGACAAAGAGGTGAGGCTGAGTCCTCTCAAAAAATTACCTTTGGGAAGCTTTGGATTTGTTTTTCCATGTGCTTCTATTTCCTCGCTGAAATTTTAATACCACCAAGTTAAATTTGTTTTTAACGGTTTTAACACCACTAGGAAAAGAGCGATACACCAGCTCCTGTGATTTGGAGTTATTTCTCAAGAAAGGCTTTACGATGGGTGGGTATTTACTTGCCTTTCAGTCAAGCAGAGAAATATGTCTTATGTATGCTAAAGTATTAAAACCCCAAATCTTAGATTTTCTGACACTTTTGGTAGAAGTGTCACAACTTGAATAGTTTTTTAAATACAATTTTTACTGAGAGGTTTCCGATTTTTCACTGCTCTTCTTCTATACTGTCTCATTCAATTTTAGTTACCTCCTTAAAGATTTAGATATCTTCTTCTCGGATCTGTTGGTTAGTAGGGGAAATACATGGTATTTAGAGGAAAAGATGGATATGAACAAACTATCTTTGTTTCCTGTAACGAAAAACACATGAAAAGATTGGTCTGTTGGCTTAACAAAATTCCCATTCCATCACTCACAAAGTCACTAAACTGTTGGTTAAACCATAAATACAGTTAATGTATTTTAATGTACAGATTTAGGATGTAAAATACTTGTTTAATGTTTTATTGCAGTTACTCTCAATGAAATTAGTTGAATTTCATGGGGGCTGTTTCTTGATAACTGAGACCAAAAAATCTCTGGATTTAGCCGTGGCTCAGCCAACTCATGTCTCATCACCCGCTGGGATAACCGTGACAAATTCTGGATCCAGCGCTACGGGAAGGGCTCTTCTGGTCTGCATCAAACCCAAGCCAACGCTGCTATTTGCACTGTGCTCCTGGTACAGATGTGGGGTTCACACCGCGATGGCTAACAAAACACCTGCACCGGGCGGGTAACTAGGACTCATTTCTAGGGACGAGCGCAAATTCTGCAGAAAGACACTAATTTCTCAGAATTAGCGGCTGCAAGCATCATTGCGGGGTAGACGGAATGAAAAGCAGATTTTCCACTCCGGGAAAATCTGAGGGCAGAGGGGCTGAAATGACCTTACAGCCCATATGAAACCGAAGCAAAAACTTTTCAGTTTGTCTTTCAAAATCAAATTTCTTAACTCCGTACAAAACCTGGGGGAAATTCATCATTCTTGTTGCTTTTCCTCCTAAAGCACCAAAGCACTAAAGCTCCCTAACCCCCTTTTTTGCCTTGGTAGGAGTTCATCAAAACCACTCACGGCTCCTCCATGTCTTATTTCCAAATATAAACGAGTCTTGGTGGAAAACCCCCAGCTAGGTGTACCATGCTGTAAAAGTTAAGCCAGGTTTAATTCCCAGCTAAAGCCTGGGGGAAAACGCACCATCAAAGCCATCTCTGCTGACCAGAAGCGGAATGAAAATGAGCAAGTAGCGGGGTTATAAAAGGAGGGGAGAGAAAAACGCCAGAGCTCGTTTGCATTTATTAAGCACCTGTAAAAAGCAGCTGGTGCCACATGCAGCTGACGGATGAGGCCAAAAACCTGTGGATTTCTGCAATGTCTAAATTGCTCCTATTTCTGAAAGTGTTTTCTTCTACCAGCACATAAGACTAACACCACGCTGCGCAGGGAAGCAAGGCAATGGCTTATGGTGAAGAATTTGTTCCCTTTCCATTAAATAACTATAGAAACATCTTCCAGAAGACTCCTGGCAGAAAAGGATATCAATGAGGACCTGGGACTGTCTTCAGAGCAGTGTTACAGTTCCTAAAGTTGTGGTGCATCCTGATGGGGAAATAAGTGGATTTAAGAAGGTTTTGGCCAAGCTATTTCAGCTCTTGGCTTTGCAATTGTACCCCAAAAGCAGCACCGTAAGGGGGCCCTGGAAATGTCACATCACCCTCCCAGGAGAAAAATATTTAGCATTAAAAAGAAAAAATGGGGGGAAATATGGGACAAAAGCGATAAATCAGTTGAAACGCATCACCGGGGCTGAGCATCGCAGCGGCACAGCCCAGAGCCCCTTCCGTGCCTGCTGCCCCCCGCCACGGTTGCATGGCTGGGGGGAGAAGCCACCCCAAAGTTGTTATAGGAAAACCTCTGGTTTAGGAAATATTTGTGCCCTTTGAATGAACGAGAGGTGCAGGGGAATGGGCAAGGAGGACAGGAGCTAACTGCCCCCTTTTAGGAGGCAAAGGGCCGCTCCGTTAGTGCTCCCTCTTACAGGGTGTATGCAGCAGCTGATACCCTGGAGCATTTAAGCCATCCTCTCCCCACCAAAATCTTGCAAACAAGAGGATATTTTTGGCTTAAATCCCGCCCAGATTCCTTCCTGAGCAGCAATACCCTTGCAAACTGCTGCTCTTCCATCTTAATTTTACGTCCCCTAATTAGAAGCCAGTGTCAGCTGGAGGAGAAATAATGAACTCCGCAGGATGGCCAGGAACAATTAGAAATCATCCAGTGCAACATATAAAAATTAGTTCCACTTCTTTCCCTGAGACAACGCAAGGCCAGAGTCCGACAGACCACGTTTTACCAAACTGCAAGCATTTTTACTGAACTATGAGTCAATTCACACCACCTCATGAGCTGCAGTAGGGATAATTCCTCTGCAAAGGACGCTCCAAGCAGAAAAAGTCACCAGCTCTTTGAAACCACCCCAGCTACTCTTGGTACCAGACAGATTATTTAAGAGATCTTAGCACTGGCCTAACTTTAGGCTCTGCTTCAGCCTTTCTGGCTGTAACAGACACTGGTGAGCAACATGGTTTCTTGCAAACCCTCTTACCAGTTTCCATCAGCACTCAGGCTTAAAAATGCTGCGAATCCCAGGATGGCACCCGCCTGGCGAGCACACACCTCTCCCTCTTTTAATTTGTAACCCTCAGAAAGGGGATTAATAAATGTGCGTATTTATCAATGCTGCCGCTTGTCCTCATGTCCTCAGTTTCTTGAAATAGAGGATGTAGTTCATAATTTTCAAAGTGTCAGTTTAGTGTAGGTCCTTCCCTGCTTTTGACAATCCTGTGTGGTTTTTGGACGGTCCAAGGCGAACCCAGGGCTGCCGACGGCCGAGCTGGGACAAGTCACTTATTCAGTCTCTTGCTAAAATAAATGGTCCACGTGTGCTTTAACTTCAGCACTCAAGCCTCTTTTTTTTTTAATTACAAAAATATTAATCTTTAATTTAAAAAGGAAATCTAATATATTCTTCTAGGGTAAGATAAGCTTCCAGGAGGCTGCCAGAGGCACGCCTGCCTTTCTGAGCGCCGCGGTGGTGCGAGCCGGACGAACAAAGAGAGGAAACCACCGCTCCGAAGTGCAAGCCACGCTGGCACACGGATCCCCTACAACTTGCAAGCGTGCCCCACTTCTCGTTTAGAAGTGTTTTCCTGCCAGCCGCAGGCTCACTTGGCGGTGCGAGAGCCATCCGCTCCCCAGGGATCCACTCTGCGAAGGCACTGCCTGGTCCTGCTCCTTCCGCCCACGTATCCGATGGGACGGGTGCCAGAGCGGATCACGGTCCTCCCCGTGATAAGTGGGCTGGTATCGCCTCTTTGCTCCACCACCGTGGCTCTGAATGGCCGTAGGGGTTGTGCTCAGCCCACGCCAGACAGTGTTTCCTAGCAAAAAAGCTCCTCGTGGCCTCCAGATCGGGGTCAGCTGCAACCCAGCAGATGCCACTAAATATAATGCCTTTGAGATGAGCTTGGGATGTTTTGCATCCTAGGGAAAAATGTGATAGATAACCTTGAGCCAACAGTGCTGAGATGTATAAGGTGTTGCTGAAGCACTCTCAGGCTTCAAACCAAGCTCAGCTTAGTATTCCCAGGGGGAAAAAATTAAGAGGATGGAGAAGGAGTGATGGCGACGATACAACCGTCCCGGTGTGCAGGGCTCCCCATCGCAGGAGGCAGATGTGGACCACGTTGCCGCAGGGATGGAGCAGCAAGGAGCATCCCTGCAGGGCCACTGCCTCCCCCATCAAAACCGGCTTTATCAGGGACCAAACACTGGCTGGGCTGGCAGGCACAGCAACATGCCTAGAGAAATTCTGAGGCTGCAAGTGCTTTCTCTGTGAAGCCCTGAGTTTCGATTTCTTTTTTTTCTCTCTTCCTTTTCAAAGTGGTGTTGCCTATTTTGGTAGGCAAGGC